TAATATATTATAATATGTCACTTTTTTAAGAGTGAAAACTGCAAATTGTTTTATTTGATTGACAACCACAACCTCTGAATAATTTGATGTATAGTATTCACTATTCAGGTTCTTCAGTTCCTCCTGCAGCGTCTGTAGTTTCTTAATTTGTTTCTCCCTCTTCATTATGAGTTATTATGAATGACTTGATATTAGGGCTATCTTCTTCAGTGCTCAGATTTCGGTCGACCGAAAAATACTCTTCGCCTTACATTTATACCGCCGTAAATAATTTTTAATATTTAAATTTTGAATGTTATTTAGAGGTATTAATTAATGTATTTTCATTTTCCACGGATAATATATTACCGACGAATAATAATATTATTGACCGTTAAATAAATAGGTAACTGCAGAAGTCTTACTGTACTATATAAAAGTTTAGGTTTCCCCGGATAGGTAAAAGGTGCAAGGCCCGGAATTAACTCTAAAGGCTAAAGGCTGAGGAACTTTTAAATGATCGTTTAGGGCGTTCGACTGACGACTTTTTAGTTATATTATTTACAAAACATTCAACAATATTAATTCTGATTAAAATTAACATTGATATTCGAAAATATAAGGGTGCCATAAAAGAGTAGCCCAGGGGTGCAAAAACTCTTAATCCGAATCGCTGTACACTCAGCGCGGCGTGTGGTCCTACAATATTAGAAATAATAGTTGCTACTGAGTTGCAAGTATACTCACTACATGAGACTGGAGTACCTGCTGCACTGCGTATATGTTATACAATATTATTATGTATATAACAGACTTACAACGCAAGACTTTGAAAACACTTGTAAGTGATGGCTTGCCGCCGGAAACGCCAATTGTGCGGGACACGACATTTTCTCGACCGAATCATGTATTGTCGTCTTCGGGAGACCGGCCCGTTGGTCGTCGTCATTCGAAACAAACGTTATAATGCAATACAATACATGCATTATATTATATTACTATAAGTGTGTGTGTGTGTGTGTGTGTGTGTGTGTGTGTGTGTGTGTGTGTGTGTGTGTGTGTAGGACTTTCTGAGTCTCTTTACTACCTACATAAAAAATATGACTCTCGGGCAGTCGGGCCCCTCATTTTACGACTGTTAAATTGTTATTATTATATATAGCAATGCCGGTTAAATCCTCTCTGTGATAATCAAGATGTAAGCTTCGTCCGTTGACTTCCCACCGGTGTAAAATACCAGTACATAGAAATAGTTAATATTTTTACTTCATTGGCCGTTGCAGTGTATAATGCGTACCTATATATAAAGTTGCAGATGATAATCATATGATAATGTATTATATAGTCTCGGTCTATTAAAATTAATGACGGCCGAGTGACCAAACGGGATCTATGCAAAGCACAACTACAAGACGTCGAAAACTAAGTCCCGAAGGTGCACCAGGCACGGGTCTCAAGTCTCAAGTTTCTTAGGGAATTTATCTCGTGGAAGTTTGGAAAGAGAAGCGAAAAACCCGAGGAAAAACCATAACATATTTTATAGAACAAGTGCAGCGGTATATCTTTTTTTCGTGTGACTATCCTAGGCTCACTAGCATGAACCACAGGATGGTTGAATGAATAATTTTCTATTCTATTATAGCCATCTTAAATCATGGCTAGCAAAAAATTTCACAATGCGTATTTTCCTTTATATTTTCTTACGGACATTTTAAATTAAAAAATTGAGTAATACAGTGACATTTCCATATAACGAAGTCAAATAAGCAGCAAAAAAATTCGTAATATGGAAGAATTCGTTAAATAGAATTACATATTTTTTTCACCTTTTTTTTAAAATGTTATTGTATACATATACTTCTACGTTGTAAATGTTATGTAAAAAAACAACATCAAATATAATATTACAGTTTAATTTAGTTTTTAATTTTATAATTCAAAAGAAATAATTAGTGAGTTTTATTTCTTTATTATTTTTATAAATTGTACTTTTTTCGTAAAAAGTTTCTATATCATTAAGTTATAAAATACTGAAATAAAATTAATCAGTTTGCCTACCTACGGTGTCTTATCTTTATTGGATTCATTGTTCATGTACAATTTTAGAACTATGTTTAAAATTTGATAGTAACAACATTTACAAAAACCAGTTTTTATCGAATAATTATTTCGATATATAGAAACATCAGATTTGTTATTTGGAGATACGTATTTATTTATTTAGATATATTATTTACGTGAATTTAACAATGAAGGTCATGGTACCCAAAAATAATTCGTTAAATGGAAGTTTGTTATATGGAAGTTCCATTGTATTTTAAACTTAATACCTAATATCGACGATAAAAGATCTCGGGAGAGGGATCTGTTTGCATTGTAATAATATGATATTAGATGTCGTAATAATGTTTTAGATACTAGTTATAATAATTGTCTTCGAATAAATTAAATGTTGACAATACTTTTGTACCATAGCTACGGCGAGTGTTGTGTCGTAAAAAAAACCCTCAACTGCATTATTGTAGAGTTAAATGTGTTCCTCTTAAATATGTTTTTTTACAAAGTAAACCTATGTGAACAATACTTTTGAGTAGTTATTATCATGTAATGTATGGTTAATTTTATTTAAGTACGTGATTATATTCCACAATTCCAAGAATATTTATATTAGTTATGTTGTTATTATAGCCAGAATAAATTACGATTTTCTAATTATAATGTTTTAGCTTGCTATTATGCTGAAATTCAGTGCAACACTTTTTTCGCAAGCTTATGTTATCACGCTGACGAAAGACGGAAATATAATGAATTGAGGTAAACAAGAGTGTGTACTCGATCAGATGTCGATCACGTACAAATGTGCATTTAATATATACCTAGCGGAAAGGAGATTTAAGGCCAACGAAGGTCACGAGCTTGTGAGTACAAGTGCGCTTTTGCAGGTGTGCAGCTCTGAGTTATACCAGCACATATTTTTCCCAACTGCACTTAGAGTCATTAAGTAGTAAATGCAAAGTATATTACTCTCTCTACATTTTCGTATCTTCCCGTAGTAACTAGAAACCACAAGCCATGTTTTAATGTTTAGTGGGAAATATGCTTCATTGAAAAAATCAAAATTAACCATGTAACATTCCGAGGAATTACACAGTGTGTGACCGATAATTTGTGGTAGGTACTGACAAAAATATTATATACATGATAATACCATATGCAAAACTATTGTATTATTTACAACTTGAAAAATTTAGCTTACAAACAAAAAAATTAAAGTTTTGTACATGGTAAATATTTTTGTGAAAAACACAAACTACGGCTACAATTTCTTAGAATGTTAAAGTAAATTCTATTTTTTTTTGTTTTTGAGAGGAAACAAACATGTCTCAAACGTGTGATAATGAAATAGATCCAAAACATATAATTCGGTACCTACATGGGTAGGTACTGAGTATGTTACTGGCATATTATAGAAATAGAAACCACTTTAGTACTGTCTACTATGTGTGCATACAATATGCGTCAGTTTTCTACTTAGTAACTACTAACTATACATTTTCTCGTGAAAAATCGAAAAACCGTGTACGCTGACAACAAGCACGTGTAATAATAAGGTCTTAGGCCGTCGTCAGATGAGGTACCTACCTATACGTCCACTAGCTGGTGGATGTACCTATAGCGTTGTAGGTGACGAACGAACGTGAAAATAACATCCAACCGATTTAATTTAATTTAATTTAATCGTATGCAATTTTGTTTTTTTTTTTTTGTTATCTTGAATTCATTATATTCTAGTAGAGTACTATACGGACTGTAGGCTCTATGGTCTACATCTACATCCTACATGTATATATTATTATCACCAACGCCACCGTGCATGCATGCGTGAACATAATATATAGAACAACAAGTTGAGTTTAATACAGAAATAATATTCGTCATTGGGCTTTAGAATCTAATAGGGCCCTATAATCTGAGTTAGAGTTGTTCGCTAGTGAAGTTCGTTAATTTCCCATTTAATTACATTCGGACATAAATAATTGTTACAACACGTATGGCGTAATATCGTGCATATATTATTATATATAAAATATTTATAATATAGACAGTATGATTATATAATCTTAACGTCCGAATGAATAATATCAATCACTACACTTCCACACGCGTCTGTGTTGACAGGGACATGCGGGAGCTGTAACGGGGAAAAGGCGATTGGAAGAGCCTGATGAAATATCTTTATTATAATAATTATAGGCAAGTACAAGTTCTACAAACAACATTATACCGAAATTTAGGTGTAATTAGATGTTATACAATTACTAAAATCGTCCATTTGTACTTTAACCAATATTGTAATATGTGTGCCTACGTTAATTATATTATTTTAAACGGTTATATTATTCGTTAAATATTCAATGTTTATCGAGCTAAGTGAATAACATCGTACCTATTATTTGTAGAGCAGTAGATGTTGATATGGGCTATTATTATAGGCCATAGGTGGACAAATAATAATAACTTAAAAGCATCCTACCTAAATCGCTAAATATAACATAAAATGAGCAACGTGCCCATTACTGAATTAGCATATTATTATATATTATGCACGTAGTACCCATATAATATAATAATGTGCAGTGGATTTAGAGTGTCTCCCTACCACCTATGTGTTTTAAATAATATACGAGTATATTGTACATATGTGGAGCTTATATGACTACTGACTTAAATATAAAATACATTCAAATATAGTATGTATAGAGTATAATGTATACAGTGTATCGTATCAATCGTTTAAAATTACATTTATATCGTCAAATCCACCATTTTAATTATTACCCATACAAGCCCTATACCTATACTTTAAGACTCAATACTGGAATATTACGACTAAATATACGTATAGCTGTATAATTATTGCCTCGACAAGTGTGCCGCAGTATTCATTTATTACCTACTTATTAGTACCTATTATAGATAATACTTTAAATGTTAAAAAACTTTAGTAGGTAGGTACTTACTGCGAACGCAAAGTTGAAGAAAAACAAAATGTATTTGATCGTGGAAGTGCCCAAACCCATTTCGACGCGGCTTTATGTGACAGAAAAAGCAGAAATATCTCCTAGCGAGAATTATACGATGCGACGCCCGGGCGTGTAACACTGGCGATGATATTATTACTATCTTACAACAATAAAACAAAATATATAAATTACAACAATATTTTAAAAAAATAAACTACTGCGATGACGACAAAATTAATGCGTGCTCAGAGCGTGGTATCACGTACATGCACAGCGGCAAACTTTACTAGTACTATTTGTAGCGACTACTGGCGGGCGGAGGCGAGAGAACGTGTTGCTCGCTTTTCTCTTGATCGGCATGAAACGGGAACGCGAACCGCGAGCGTGTACGCCGCCGACAGGTTGCGCGACCAAGACGACAACGGGCGGAACGCCATCTGATGGAACAAATCGGCTAAAACCAAAATTTCAGACCACGGTTCAGACCAAGACATCAAACAATAATCTAGGACCATAGACCGAGCCATCGTCGAAGCGATATAAATGTATAATATCCTATAATATGGTTATACCTACAGATACTGCCGTCAAAACCAACTTAGCGTTAGCAATAAGCCAATATTTTCAAAAACGAAGTTCTTCATGAAATAATAAAAGATTTTTCAGCTCTACTACCTATATGCTATGTTGTATTTTTGTACGAGGAAACTATTGAACGCAAAAATAAGTTTTCATACCTTCGTTGTAAGAGTTACTGCATAATACACGGATTATATATTATATAAATCAGAAGAAAAGCAGTACGTACACTTGTATTTGAAGTTACTGCCAAATGCCTTCCGGTATCATGGGCATATTATGTGTTAATAAATTGATTTATACTGATAAATGTGCTTTAAAATTTTAGATATTTAAATAATTTATCATATTGTACATTTTAATATTAAATTAACTCAAATTTATTAAATACCAAAATCATATAATAATAATCTAATTTAAATATCTAAAAGTACATAACATAACTTTGTGAGCGCACAACGCATTTAATGTTAGGTATTTTTTTTTTTTAATGTAGATAATATTATTATTTCTTATCATTATATTACCTATAACATAGTGTAAATATCAATTATATTTCCGGACTTGTATTAAAGTTCAATTTGAATTTTGTAGGAGATACCTATAAAGCTCTATAAATACAACAATTACTAGAAAAAAAAGCAGTAAATCCAGATCACTTGACACTTACTGCTTTTTGTTCTAATATTTGATCATACTGATTATTTGTTTCTGATCTTAATGAATGTATACCTAAGTAAGTATTGTACATACCGCTTTCTTGTTATTTTATTTTCCATTTCTATGAATTTCTAATAAAACAATTATTAATTTTCATTAGTAGAACCGATAGACTATAGAGTATTCAAATGTACATCGATAGATACCAAAAATTCGATTTTGATCAAAATGGAGTTACTGGAGATAATATCAACCTTAATTCAGACGAAAGTCAAAAAGTGTGTCATCCCGATGTACTATTATTACCTATATAGGCGTGGATAGAGTGATACGAACTGTAGGCGGAAAATGTTTACTCAGAAAACTTAACTTCAGTGTATTATGAATATTATTTAAACTGAAAAATTATGAAAATATGTTAAGTATTACAAGTATTAGTATATATAGAGGTATTTGTACAGACGTAATTGATGAATAAAAATAGAATTAGAATTATTATTATTATAACTATAGAATATGCAACATTTATGCAACTATCCAGAAATATGCAGTTAATATGACTGACGAATTCAATCATGTTTTCAAAATTAATACAAGTCAATCGAAACTAGGTGAATTTTTATTTCTCTTTTGATACTGTTTGCATCCAATTTCTGCCCTACAACCGGAGCAAAAATATTTTCTTCGTGTTCATTGACTTGTGCATGCGCGTATGGGCGTTAGAACATTTCTAAGAATCTTAGTAGCCAATACCCGTATCTGAACGATTATAATTCAATTAGAGCTAACGACTGCGGAAATGAAATGATATTTGATAATGTATTGTAATTGAAAAGTATAAAATATATGGTAATAACTAATAAGTAAATTTATGTTACGACAAAATAAAATAGAATATTAGTCTACTCAGTCACTAGTTTCATACTACATCTAGACATCTAGACTAATAACTATTCAACCAGTGAAGTTTAATTTTTTTGTCAGTGATTATATAATTTTAAATTTCAAAATGAATGAAAATTGGCGTTTTGGTAAAAAAGCACGTCTCAAGCTATGTGCACCACGGAAAAAACCTAATTTGGCTAACTTCAAACGTAAAAAACGCGAAAATCATGAAAAAAATGAAGAGGTAATTAATTATAATGTATAATATATTAATATTGAATTTTTTACGAACTAACGGTAAGTATAAATAATATATGAGATTATAAATTATAATTTTATTTTACTTTTATTAGTTATCAATATGTAAATTTAATATTTTTTGCATATAGCTAATTATTAGTATAAATACCCCTTTAAATACCTATACAATTTTTTTAAAATTTTATACTTATATATATATATTAAATACATTCTATAATTTTTTTTATTTAAAAGAATGAACACCTAAATGATTCTTCGTCATCAGTTTCGATTTTCCCTGAATTTATAACTCCGAATAATGATCGAGAAGTAAGTGGTGAAGTAAGCAATAATTTAACATTACCTTCATCATCTTACGGCGATGAAAGTGATCCGTGGAAAAATTTAGAAGGGCGAAGAATTGTTAACATGCGACATATTTTTAATTCAATTCAATTAATAAATCACAAAGGATTTGAATGTTCATTTCGGGATTTAGAGTTTTTAAAGGAAGGAAGAAAAGGATTTATTAGTACATTTTATTTCGCATGTAAAATATGTGGCATAAAGGTTACAATTGACAGTGAAAAAGATGACAATGATATAAATATTAACATGGCCATAGTTTCGTCAATAGTCAATATTGGGCAAGGTTATTCTCAACTGGAAGAGTTAACTGCTACGTTGAATATGCCGAATATGTCAAATCGAATGTACCAAGAAACGCATACCAATATTTTTAATCATTTCAATGACATTGCTTGGAAAGAAATGTTATTGGCTGGTAAGGAGGAGGCTAAATTAGCGATTGAAAATTGAGAAGTCGATTATCTAGGTAGACCAAAGATAGCTGTTATTGCTGATGGAGCATGGAGTAAACGATCATACCGTACTAAATATAATGCTTTATCCTGAGTTGTAAGTATTAATAGTACCTATATCTATACCTTTTTTTGAATAATAAATTACGAGTAATAACTTGTATGTTATTGGTTTATCTAAGATAGGTATACCAAATAATTATTAATATAATTTTAAATTAATTTGAACCAGGCTTGTATAATTGGAGCTAGGACAAAAAAAATGTTGTTTTGTGGAGTTCGCAATAAATATTGTTGCATATGTCAAGTGGCGGAGAAAAAAGAATCATTACAGATAACTGACCATTTATGTTTTAAAAATTGGAGTGCTCCTTCTACTGCAATGGAAGCTGATATTATAGTAGAGGGATTTAAACAATGTGTGTCAATGCATAACCTAATATATTCACAGTTAATTGGTAAGAAAAATAAGTTGAATTAGTTTAATAGTTATTTATATATAGTGTTATTACCTACTGATTTTTTTTTAATTGTACGTAAAAAAATTGGTAGGTAGAGAAAAACGATTTTTTTACGCAAAATCAGTTTTGACAAAATTATTTTTATTAGTATACCTAAGTACCTAATTGAATACATAATTTTTCACCGTATATTTGTATCAGAATTACATGGCTTCTTATTTATGCTTATTTATTAATATTTTTACATTTTTTAGGAGACGGTGATAGCAGTGTAATGAAGCGATTAAGAATAGAAAAACCATATGGTCCGAATTTCGTAATAAATAAGGTTGAATGTACCAATCACTTATTGCGAAATTATATAAATCGAATGAGGGATATAAGTATTAAAAGAAAAAACGATAAAGGTGATGTTATACCAGGCTGCTATCGTAAAGCTGTTCAAGATAGATTACTTATGTAATGTGCATATTTTTATTTTTTATTTATTTTTATTATATTGTGCATATGTTAGTAACTATACCTAAAGACTTTAGTGTAGGTACCTACTATAATAGGTTAATATTATTACATTTTTACTTCATAATTAAATTTACTTATAGGCTTCGATATGCAGTGACAGAAGCAATCAAGTATAGAAAACAACATCTTAGTGATAAACCATATGAGGAAATATTAACTCTTTTAAAAAGTGATTTGACAAATGGACCATTTCATGTATTTGGAGATCACAGTTATTGTAAATCCTATTTTTGTAAGGGGAGTAAAGAAGGTGAGATAGTACATCATATATAGTTTCAATGATTTAAAAATATTTAAATTTATTTACGTATAGTACCGTTTCCTCATATTTATGAATGTAATATAACATATTATATGTGTGTGTGTATTAAAGGAGAAGAAAACCTAGTTCCGGCACTCTCAAGTCTAGGTGTTTGGGATGACATAACCAAAGCTCGAAATCTTATGTCTTACCACGCAGAAAGCTTGTTACTTAATCACAACAACAATGCAGCTGAACTATACAATTCAATATTGACTAAATTTATAGGAGGAAAACGGGTAAACTTTTCGTTAAAAGGTTCATATCAACTTAGGTGTAATGCTGCAGTTATGGCTTATAATGCTGGATCAAATCGTTTGTCATTATTTAATAAGCACGTTACAAATAAAAGCCCAGGAAAATATACTAAAATGTTTATAAAAAAAAATCAAAAAACAGCAAACGCCCGTAAAATACGACGTCAACTTTTTTCTGCGATACCTAAAAATAAGTCTAAAATTTCTTACGTTGGACCCGACGAAAACTATGGGAACATTTCGAATAGTTTAACACACTTAACAATTGAAGAAAAAGAAAAATTAAAAAATGATTTTTTAAAAAAGCTACAACTAGATAAAAATGAAATTCGTGATCTAGAAAAAAGAACAGTAAGACAAAACCAATGTGAAGAATGGCATTTGGAAAGAAAAAAAAGGTTTGTTTTAATTATTTTAATATATAAAACCATATTTGTATTTGTTGTTGCATAACTGCAGCGTATTTCTTTAACCTTAAATAGGTTAACAGCGTCTGTATTCGGTAAAATATGTAAACTACGACTCAGTGGCGCAACCAGGAATTTTTCATGGGGGGGGGTCTGAAAAAATTAACCATCTTAATTTTTATAAACAATATAGGTACCTGTTTTATTAACAATATATTATATATTATTATTATTATTTTAAATATTAAACAAGTATTAATTAAGATATATTTTTATAAAGAAAAATCTAAGCGGCGTTTTATTGAAGCTAAAACGTCAATGACTTCATCTTCTGTAACTGGAACTTCACGGTGTATGTTAAGAACCGCTAATCCATTTAACCTGGTTTCAGAAGTCGAATTCCTCAAATATGTTTTGATTCGCTTCAGTGAAGAAAATGACCTTTCTGACTCACAAGATGTAACTGGGAGTACAGCAAGGATGTGCAATAAATTATAAATATTTGGATAGAAGTCCTGATTACACGTTAGTAATGCATCTAATGCATTCTGAGGTTTAACATTATTTGTATTTNGAGAGTTGGATTCGACGGATTTTAATTTTGAAAATTAATATTAATTAATCATTATGTTAGTTAGGGAATGGTCGAGTGGATTTTGTTTATACAAATTCTTCGATAAAATATCGACAATTTAAAAAATAAGAATTTTGGTATTTTATATATTTAAGTACGTCATTATTTTTTATAATAATGATAAATTTCCACGGCCATGCTTTAGAAGAGTTGTTAAAGATTTTCAATTAGTTTTCAAAATTGAAATCCGTCTAACCCAAGTCCAACAGTTTTGTCTAGCTTTTGGCCTGTTTTACGTGATAATTTGTACCTGCTCCAGCCCCCTTAAAGAGATTTCTTCTGATTTCAATCTAAAAAAAAAACTAATTATATAACAACTATTATACATGTAAAAATTAATTATTTTATAATATTTACCTATCCTTTGCATTTTTTAATCTTTCTTCAAGCTTTCGAAATTTCATTTTAGTTAGTGGTTTTAGATTACCGTTTTTCTAGGCTTGTAGATCAAGTTTAAAATTTTGTTGTTGATTTTTTATTTCAGTTATCATCACAAATATGTTCGGCTTTGAAAAGATCATTGTCAACTGTCGGCGAATCGGGAAAATGAAAACTTTATTAATAATTTGTCGGCGAACCGAAACGTCGGCAAACTAAACTGTCGGCGAAAAGGGAATATTTTAAAAATATTTTAAAACTGGTATATTTGTCGGCAAATTGAGTTGTCGGCGAATTGGGATTCTGCAAAGTGGGTATAAACCTTTTAAATAAATAGTTAAAATATTATTAGGTAATATAATCATGACAAAATAAAATAAGAAATAAAATAATTTATGCATGATTAATTTTATAATTTTATAAAATGTTTTTATAATCCAAAAACAATATTTGGTAAACAGAATAGATCATTTTCGTCCAATTTTTTTAAGTTATATACTTGGTTGGAATACAGTGTCAAACAAGATGCTGTATATTGCTTTTGCTGTCGATTATTTGGAAAATCAAATGATGATGTTTTCACAAAAATAGAATTTAAAAACTGGAAAAAGGTTTGCAAAAGCATTTATGTTATATTAATTATATTATAATTAATTATTATAATAGGTAGGTATCTATGACAATAATATTTGAACATTTTATTATAATTTATAGATAAGTGGTTCTAATAGTAAACAGTCCAAGCTTGCTAGTCATGCACTAACTAAAGAGCATCTTACTAATGTATCAAAAATGACTGGATATTATTCAGCTAAAAGTACAGAAATTATAGTGGAACAGGTATTAACTGCCCATAAACAAAACATTTTAAATAACCGTTTATACATGAAAAAGTTAATTGATATTATATTACTATTATCTCGTCAAGAAATTTCATTTAGAGGCCATATAGAAAATACAAATTCCTTAAACAAAGGTTAGGTATACTTAATTAATTAATAATTATGATAAATTAACTACTGTTTTGAGTTTAAGGGGGCTGGAGCAACCATATTTTTTCATACAATTAGCTCAATAAGCGAAAGTAAATTAAACATACTTCTAGTAGCTCAATTTAAATTTTGAAAACTAATTTTGGTTTGTCTTCCTCTTTTCTAAGTTTGCTCGGAAGTGGAATCTTTTATTTTTCATTTTGTCGCTATCTACAACTAAGTCAAGTATAATTTTTTTTTGAAAAAAATATAAACTTACTATGCTTCATATTATATTAACTAAAAATAAAGTCGTAAATCTACTTCCGAGCAAACCTAGAAAATTGACTGACGAATTCAATCATGTTTTCAAAATTAATACAAGTCAATCGAAACTAGGTGAATTTTTATTTCTCTTTTGATACTGTTTGCATCCAATTTCTGCCCTACATCCGGAGCAAAAATATTTTCTTCGTGTTCATTGAGTCTTGTGCATGCGCGTATGGGCGTTAGAACATTTCTAGGAATCTTAGTAGCCAATACCCGTATCTGAACGATTATAATTCAATTAGTGCTAACGACTGCGGAAATGAAATGATGTTTGATAATGTATTGTAATTGAAAAGTATAAAATATATGGTAATAAGTAAATTTATTTTACTACAAAATAAAATAGAATATTAGTCTACTCAATCACTAGTTTCATACTACATCTAGACATCTAGACTAATAACTATTCAACCAGTGAAGTTTAATTTTTTTGTCAGTGATTATATAATTTTAAATTTTAAAATGAATGAAAATTGGCGTTTTGGTAAAAAAGCACGTCTAAAGCTATGTGCACCACGGAAAAAACCTAATTTGGCTAACTTTAAACGTAAAAAACGCGAAAATCATGAAAAAAATGAAGAGGTAATTAATTATAATGTATAATATATTAATATTGAATTTTTTACGAACTAACGGTAAGTATAAATAATATATGAGATTATAAATTATAATTTTATTTTACTTTTATTAGTTATCAATATGTAAATTTAATATTTTTTACATATAGCTAATTATTAGTATGAATACCTATACAATTTTTTTAAATTTTTTTTAAATTTTATACTTATATATATATTAAATACATTCTATAATTTTTTTTATTTAAAAGAATGAACACCTAAATGATTCTTCGTCATCAGTTTCGATTTTCCCTGAATCTCTTAATAAAAGTCTTACGGCGATGAAAGTGATCCGTGGAAAAATTTGGAAGGGCGAAGAATTGTTAACATGCGACATATTTTTAATTCTATTCAATTAATAAATCACAAAGGATTTGAATGTTCATTTCGGGATTTAGAGTTTTTAAAGGAAGGAAGAAAAGGACTTATTAGTACATTTTACTTCGCATGTAAAATATGTGGCATAAAGGTTACAATTGACAGTGAAAAAGATGACAATGATATAAATATTAACATGGCCATAGTTTCGTCAATAGTCAATATTGGGCAAGGTTATTCTCAACTGGAAGAGTTAACTGCTACGTTGAATATGCCGAATATGTCAAATCGAATGTACCAAGAAACGCATACCAATATTTTTAATCATTTCAATGACATTGCTTGGAAAGAAATGTTATTGGCTGGTAAGGAGGAGGCTAAATTAGCGATTGAAAATTGAGAAGTCGATTATCTAGGTAGACCAAAGATAGCTGTTATTGCTGATGGAGCATGGAGTAAACGATCATACCGTACTAAATATAATGCTTTATCCTGAGTTGTAAGTATTAATAGTACCTATATCTATACCTTTTTTTGAATAATAAATTACGAGTAATAACTTGTATGTTATTGGTTTATCTAAGATAGGTATACCAAATAATTATTAATATAATTTTAAATTAATTTGAACCAGGCTTGTATAATTGGAGCTAGGACAAAAAAAATGTTGTTTTGTGGAGTTCGCAATAAATATTGTTGCATATGTCAAGTGGCGGAGAAAAAAGAATCATTACAGATAACTGACCATTTATGTTTTAAAAATTGGAGTGCTCCTTCTACTGCAATGGAAGCTGATATTATAGTAGAGGGATTTAAACAAAGTGTATCAATGCATAACCTAATATATTCACAGTTAATTGGTAAGAAAAATAAGTTGAATTAGTTTAATAGTTATTTATATATAGTGTTATTACCTACTGATTTTTTTTTAATTGTACGTGTACCTATTATAATTTAAAATATTTATAAATAGGCACTATTTTAGATTCAAAATAGACTGATAAATGCATTGAATTTACTTTTTTTTTCTTCAAAATAATAGGGGGGGGGGGGGGAATAAAAAAAAAATTGGTAGGTAGAGAAAAACGATTTTTTACGCAAAAACAGTTTTGATAAAATTATTTTTATTAGTATACCTAAGTACCTAATTGAATACATAATTTTTCACCGTATATTTGTATCAGAATTACATGGCTTCTTATTTATGCTTATTTATTAATATTTTTACATTTTTTAGGAGACGGTGATAGCAGTGTAATGAAGCGATTAAGAATAGAAAAACCATATGGTCCGAATTTCGTAATAAAAAAGGTTGAATGTACCAATCACTTATTGCGAAATTATATAAATCGAATGAGGGATATAAGTATTAAAAGAAAAAACGATAAAGGTGATGTTATACCAGGCTGCTATCGTAAAGCTGTTCAAGATAGATTACTTATGTAATGTGCATATTTTTATTTTTTATTTATTTTTATTATATTGTGCATATGTTAGTAACTATACCTAAAGACTTTAGTGTAGGTACCTACTATAATAGGTTAATATTATTACATTTTTACTTCTTAATTACATTTACTTATAGGCTTCGATATGCAGTGACAGAAGCAATCAAGTATAGAAAACAACATCTTAGTGATAAACCATATATGAGGAAATATTAACTCTTTTAAAAAGTGATTTGACAAATGGACCATTTCATGTATTTGGAGATCACAGTTATTGTAAATCCTATTTTTGTAAGGGGAGTAAAGAAGGTGAGATAGTACATTATATATAGTTTCAACGATTTAAAAATATTTAAATTTATTTACGTATAGTACCGTTTCCTCATATTTATGAATGTAATATAACATATATGTGTGTGTGTATTAAAGGAGAAGAAAACCTAGTTCCTGCACTTTCAAGTCTAGGTGTTTGGGATGACATAACCAAAGCTCGAAATCTTATGTCTTACCACGCAGAAAGCTTGTTACTTAATCACAACAACAATGCAGCTGAACTATACAATTCAATATTGACTAAATTTATAGGAGGAAAACGGGTAAACTTTTCGTTAAAAGGTTCATATCAACTTAGGTGTAATGCCGCAGTTATGGCTTATAATGCTGGATCAAATCGTTTGTCATTATTTAATAAGCACGTTACAAATAAAAGCCCAGGAAAATATACTAAAATGCTTATAAAAAAATATCAAAAAACAGCAAACGCCCGTAAAATACGACGTCAACTTTTTTCTGCGATACCTAAAAATAAGTCTAAAATTTCTTACGTTGGACCCGACGAAAACTATGGGAACGTTTCGAATAGTTTAACACACTTAACAATTGAAGAAAAAGAAA